ACGGAGAATAAATTCCTTTCCCGAGGGGTTTTGGCGCATTGGTTGCTGGGTTGGTTGTGGGGTTTTTTTCTGCCTTTCCCCCCCCCCTCTCTTTCTGTGCTATGAACCATCCATTTCCTTGCTGAGGAGCCCCATTTCTTCCCTGCAAAGGCCTGAAGTGAGGAGAGGGGGCTCAGCGCCTCCCCCCAGCACCCTGCGGGTCCCATCCTGCGTCGCCCCGTTGCCCCACGGCTCTGGTGATGGTGGTGGAAGCATCTCGCACAAGCAGGACGAAGGGTTTGGGGTCTCCCCGTGTGCTCCCCCGGCTCTCACCGACCCCCTCTCGCCCGTGTCTCCACAGCTGAGCTCCACTGCCTGGTGCTGGAGCGTCTCCAAGCCTCCTCCTGGTGCAGAGCCTGCTGCCCGAGCTCCCCTGTGGTGCTGAGCCCCCTGGATCCGGGTCCCCACGCTCCTCTGGTGACGGCGGCAGAGAAACAAGGGTGACTCCTCATCTGGGGAGGGGGGCAGTGTCCCCTCAGTGGGGAAACCACCTCGAGTCTCCCCTTTGTGGCTGCCCCTTCAATCCCAGATAGACTTGCTTTATTTCTCCCCAGTAAGCCCAGTAACGGGGCTTCTTGCAACAGCGCAAATGTGTTTTGGGGAGAATTCACCAACATTTGGTATTTCTAGGGCAGGCAGGATTTGTGCCATCCCTCCCTCCCTGCTGTCTGTCTTTCCCTCCTCAGATGAAAGCCTGGATCTATGATTCGGGGCAGAAAGTGGAAATTTTCATCCCTTTTCTGGACTACAGCCGTCCGCCCTCAAGGCGCTGCTGCCAGACCTGCACCCCGATGAGCTGGGTAAGAGCATGGCCCTGGGGGCTCTGGGCTTCCCCAGAGCTGGCTGCGGAGGGAATCTGGGATCCTGGGATGGCGTGACGAGGGTAAGTCTGGGATCCTGGGATGGCGTGACGAGGGTAAGTCCCATCCAAAGGGTCTTATGCCTGCGGGGAGGGTGGGGGGCTGCTGCGGGGCAAACATCCCCACCTTTTCCTGCTGTCACCTTCGCTGCTGCCGTGAGAGCTAACCCTGCTTTTTCCTTCCAGGGTCGTTTCTACCACCAGCAACTCTCCTCTCTTGGCTTCCGCGACGTCATCCGGGTGACAGAGGAGGACACGCGGTGAGGATCGGATCAGCTCTGTGCCTTGGAACGCTGGGCAAACTGCTGTTTTTCTTTTTTTTTTCCCCCAGGGTTTGTCCAAGTCCCCATGGAAATCCCTTTCCCTGCTGCACGAGTGTGGGGATGCCTCTCTGTCATCCTTACTCTCTAATTAATCCAAAAAGAGGGGATGTTAATTATATTTTGAAAGGCTGGAAGCCGCATCTCTCGAGTGCAGCGTGTTACTAACAGTGGAGAGGGCTTGGTCCGTTCCCTGGCTGCAGTCACACACAGGCTGGGAGGAGAAGTCATCCACAGAGTTGAGGATTTGGGGTTGTTTCTTTTTTTAAAATGAAACTTGGTATCTTGGTGCTGTTGGGAAGAACTTGGCAGGGGGGCTGGGGGTGTTTTCGTTCTCCTCTTTGGCTCCGGCACAAGGACAAACTCACGCACACAGCGCTTGGAGCAAGCCTGGCTCCTGGCCCCTGGGGAGAGGGGAAACGGCCTCTTCCCCAACCCCTCCTGCTCTTCCTCCTCCCCAGAGGCTCTCCCTCTGGACCTCTGGCTGGTGTCAGCCAGCCTTTTCCTCCTTGGACCCCAGGAGCCGTTTCCTTGCCAGATGCCTGATATATTTTTTTTGTTCCCGAGGTGCTGGACTCTTCGGTTCCTCTCCCCTTTTCAGAGCAGTCCCTGGTGGTTTAGCAATTTAGCACTGTATTTTTCCAAATCGGGTCATTATACTCTATTCAGCTTGAAATATCCCAGCTCCAGCTTTCAAACTCTTTGAATAATTCATCTCCGCCGCAGCGACGCGGGAGTTGTGGGGTGGCTAAAAACCGCCCGGTGATGGGGTGGCTGAGATCACAAGTGGGAAAGACGGAGGTCTGAAGTTCCCGTGTCCTGCTCCTGCAGCCCTTTCGCTGGGTTGCTGCCTGCTCTGTGAGATCTAAAACCTCCCTTCTGTCCCTTTCAGGTGCTGCCTAGCTCTGATTTGGGGGCAGATTCGGAAAAGGCCCCGATCTGGGACCTCTGCAACGTTCCCTGCGTGTTTTTAGCAGTCACAAGTTTCCCTCCTGTGTGAGGAGCGATGCTGCAAGGACCAGGGTGGCTGGGAGCATCGCTCTGCTGGTGCCTCCATTTTCCCAGCTGTAAAATGGGGCGAAAAATCTCAAAGTCTTGCAAACAGCTGGTTTGAGGGGGGCTGCACACGCTGGAAAAGCCTCTAAGCACCAGAACATCGCTGTCTGTCTTCCTGCCCAGGTACCGGGGCTGGCTCGTCCGAAGGGTCTGTGGTTTCCTTGCTGTCTGGGACTGGAAAGTTCCTGCTGACACCCCCAGAGACCTCCCCTCGAGGATCTGCTGCAGCAAGAGGTAAGTGGGAGCAGCTGGAGGGGCTCTCTGGGGTCAGCTTCACCCGCAGCATCATCCCCCAGCCCTGTGGGATCCCATTCGGTCGCTCGTCTGCGCCCAGTGGAAGGAAATGTGCCAGCTCCTCCTCGCTGCTGCACCCTTCCCAAAAACTCACCCCGAGGAAGGGACTTTGTTCCCCCTGTGCTCAGCACCCTCAGAAGGAGCCTGCACCCCAGTTTGGTGGGGAACCAGCTCTCTGGGCTCTGCCCCGGGATGCTGCTGAGGCTCTCCCAGTCTCTGTCCCAATGGGGTGAGGTGGCCTTGTCAGACCTTGTCACTTAACTCGTTGTCATGGCTAATGACACAGCAGGAGGCTGGCAGCCAGTACACTGTAATTACTGTAATATGGAGAATGCTTTTTAACCCCTCGCTCTGCCTCCTGCTTCCCACCTCCTCTCCATCCCCCCTCCGCAGGGTACGGGATGTCACTACCGGCTGGTCCCGTGGCTCCAGCGGGGACAGCGAATCCCACTGGCCATGGAAGGAGGAAATACTCAAGATCCTGGCTGAAATCCAGGCCCCGCTCTCCCTCCTCATGCTGAGGTCCGCGCTCCCACTCTGGGGAGGGTTGTGGGTGTGGATCCCCCTTCAGGGGCATCTCCCACCTTCTCTTGGAGGGATCCCAGCTCCTGCCTGGGGCATTCCCAGTCCCTCTCCTTCGCACCAGGGGTTTTGGGGTTTTTTTTGTGCTCTTAGCTTGTGTATTAAGCCCCTTCAGATGGGCTTTGAGTGGTGACTGGGTGCCTCACTGCAATCCGTCCTTTGGGGGGATGCGCAGGGACCCTTTGGGGGGATGCGCAGGGACCCTTTGGGGGGATGCACAGCAGAGGGCAGGCAGCCCTTGGGGTTCCGCGCAGCTCTCTGGGGACATTTCCCCCAGTTCTTCCAGTGAGCTGGAATCTGACACTGGAGTGGGGAAGAAAAAAACCACTGGGAGGATAAAAGCAAAGCAAACCAAAAGGGAACTTTTCCTTTCTCTCTCCCTCTCTTTTTTTTTTTTCCTCTTGTCATTGAGAAATTGGCAATTAGAGGTTGCATTGTAGCCTAATTGCTTGTCTGATTGAGCTGTAATAAAAGAACCCTCTGAGCAGTCTGAAGTATTTAAAGGGAAGAAATTACCCAGGGGATAAAAGCGCTTGGATCCTTCCCGTAAGTGCGGGAGGACGGGGGAGATGGAGGGGTAATTGACTTCAGCTTTTGTTGCCTGAGGGACAAGGGGGTGGTCTTGTCACATCCAGCCTTTAATGTTTTAACTTAATTTATAATAAAACTGTTTATTTGCCTTACAGGAGCTGAGAAGTGAGATTTTTTTTTTTTTTGGTTCAAGCTGTCTCATGCAGCCTCCTTTGCTGTTTGGGTGGGGAAACTGAGGCAGGGAAGGGTGGCCTGAGTAACGTCTCTGTGGTGGTTTGGGGGCAGCCATGGCCCCTTGCAGGGTTGCTCACTGGCTTGTTTTCCTGCAGGCTGTGCAACTGGGCTTTACTCAAGCTTCTGAACTGCCTCTTCCTCAACGTGCAGCTCCACCGAGGGCAGCTGGAGATGGTGCTGAGGGCCCGCAAGACGGTAGGGATCAGTGAGAGCCGCTCTCGGCCCTGTGTCTCGCTGCCAGCGTGCTGGATGCTGAGCCTTGGCTTTTCTTGCAGCCCGACGTGCCGCTGGTTTTTCTCTCCACACACAAATCCCCGCTGGATGGGTTGCTCCTGTCCTTCCTCCTCTTCTCCCAGGGGCTGGGGGTGCCCAGGGTGACAGTGGGCGGCCAGGCCTGCAGCTCTCGCCTCCGGTAAGGCGCAGCACACACCTGATCGCGCTCAGCACGTGGGTCGTCACCCAGCCAGGAGGGAATTGCACTTGCAAAGCTGAGGGTGATGGCCCTGTGCAAGGTGGCTCCTCTTTCCCCTCAGAGCCCTGCTCAGCCGCCTGGGAGGAATTTTCCTGCCCTTGAGGATGGGACAGATGCCAAGCAAACAGGATGAAGGGCTCCCAGGGGCTGTCCTAGCTGTGGTAAGTCCAGCCTGGGGTGCTGGGAGGGATAAAACATTCCCCAAGCTCCAAAAGCACCCAGCAAAGCTCACATGCATCCCAGTGCCCCCCAGCCTCACCCCGTCTCCCCCCACCAGTACATCGAGGAGGTGCTGAGGAGCCAGCAGCCTCTGCTCATCTTCCTGGAAGAGCCCTCTGTCACCCAGCACCTCTCGGCCCCTGCCCGGGAGTGGCTGGCCCTGGTGTACCGAGCTGTGCGGGACGGCGCTGTCCCCGACGTCCTCCTGGTCCCCATGGGCATCGCCTACGACGTCGCCCCTGGCGCTTTGTGCCGGGAAGGAGCGGTGAGAGCTCTTGTCGATGCGGGCGCAGCACCTAAATCGCTGGGTGTGTCCCTGGGGAGCAGCACTTGCCTCCATCACCCCATTAATGCTTTGCTCTCCCCTCTTTTCCCAGCGTGGGGCTCAGCCCCTTGGCCTTGGCACTTGCCTCTGGGCAGCGTGTCAGGCCATGCGCCGAAACTTCGGCTGCGTCCAGGTAGACTTCGCCCAGCCCTTCTCCTTACAGGTACGGCACCAGGGTTTGCAGGTGAGGCTCCTGTCTGGGTCCATCCCGGCTCTGGAGGGTTTGTTGCTGTGATGTTGGTGTCTGTGCAAACCTCACACAGAACCCCAGAATCCTCTGGGCTGGAAAAGCCCCTGAAGCTCCTCCAGCCCGACCATGACCCTCACCCTGACCATTCCCAACTCTGGGCAGCTTGAGGCCATTCCCTCGGGGCCTGGCGCTGGGGCCTTGGCTCCAGAGACTCATCCCCCCTCTCTGCCCCCTCCTGGCAGGGAGTTGCCGAGGGCCAGGAGGTCTCCCCTCAGCCTCCTCTTCTCCAGACTGAACCCCCCCAGTTCCCCCAGCCGCTCCCCAGCAGACCTGTGCTCTGGGGGTTGGATGGTGGGTTTTGGGTGGCTGAAGAGGATCTGGGGTTCTCCAGGAGATCCAGTGAACCCATCTCTAGGGGAAGCTGGGGGCTTGCTGGGGCTCTGGGGAGTCGAGGGATCAAGTCAGCTTGTTGGTGCTGAGGGCTGCAAGCATGAACAGGCTCGTTTGTCCTCAATCTCAGGAATTCGTGGCCAAAAACCTCGTCGGGCAGAGCTGCCCGGGGAACCCGCTGGAGGAGCTGCTGTTGCCCACCATCCTCGGCACATGGTAAGCAGGAGCCGAGCCTTGGGGGAGCATCTCGCATCTAAGGTCTGCTCCTAGCCCCACTTTCTCACCCCTCTCACCCCATTTCCTCCAGTCCCAGCCAGCTGGAACAGAAGAAAGCAGTGGTTTGTGGTCCTGGCCCAGCAACGGCTGTGAGTTTGAAGGCAGAAGAGGAAATACTGGTGACCAAGCTGGGCCTGCACTGCCTGAGCGGTGAGGGGTCCGCAGGGGGAGGCAGGAGTCCGGCCTCCAGCCATCTGCCTGCCCCCACAGGGGAAAAGCCCCCCCTGGCATCTGCTGGGTGATACCCCTTGGGATGCCCGCTGCTGCCTCCTCTCCCTGTGGGGCTCGGGGCAGGGGGCTCTTCCCCCGATGGCTAACGATTGCCTCTCCCTCCCTTGCAGACGGCGTTTCCTGCTCGGCAGTCATGGCTGTGGCCATCACGTCCGTGCTGCTGCTGCACAAGCACCGGGAGGTGAGGCACGGAGGTTTCCAGCTTTCTCTTCCTTTGGAGCAAGATTTCCCAAGCTGCCCGACCATGTAGGGGAGCCAGCTCATCCTCTTCTTCCTCCAGGGCGTCTTCTTCTCCCGGCTGATGCAAGATTTTGCCTGGCTGCTGGAGAAGATCCTGCTGGGCCAGCATGACGTGGGCTTCTCGGGGCAGCTCTGTGTCCTGGTGCAGCACAGCCTCATCCTGCTCAAAGCCCATATCACCTGCTACCACCTCTCCCCCATCGGTGACATCGCGGTGGTCCCTAAGGCCTCGGCGGAGGCCCTGAGCGTGCTGAGCCACCACAGCGCTGCCATCCTGCCCGTCTTGGCCCACGAGGCAGTGGGAGGTGAGGAGCGAGGCGTGGGGGATTGGGGACACCAGGGATTGGGGACATGGGGGAAATCGGGGACGCCATTTTCCCGGCAGCCTGTGCCATCCGCGCCTTGCTGGCGGAGATGCTGCCCTTCCTGAGAGTGCCCGTCAGCCTCTCCAGCGTTGTGGTCAGCCAGGACGAGCTGCACCGCAAGACCCTGGAGCTGCTCCGGCTGCTCCCCCTAAACCTTCTGGGGCTCCAGGTAGGGGCTGGTGGTGTGGGGTGGCACTGCCATCGCGTGGAAGTGGCTTGTCACCGCTGCCTGTGTGGCTACAGGGAGTCCTGCTGCTGCCAGCCCCTTTTTCTCCTCTCTCCCAGCCCTGCCAGCCCCTCGACTACCACAGCCAGGACATCATGGACAAGCTCCTCCTGTGTGGGTTGCTGGAGGCTGAGGAGGTGGGGGTCCCCCCCGGACCCCCCTGCCCTATGCTGGGGATGGGTGGCTCAGCTCTTACTGCGCCCTCCGGTCCTGGCTGGGAAGGGGACAAGGGAGGGGGGGGGTCCCTGTGGGGGGCAGGGTGCTGGCATCATGGGTGCTGTGACACCCGGCTTTGTCCCTGCAGCCGGGGAGCGAGCACTGGGGCAAGGGCCGGCCCTGGGCCAGGATGGACTTCAGCGACAGTGACAGCGACAGCGAGAGCAGCGTCCCCAGGCGCTGCTTCAAGGTACTCGGGGTGTCCCCCTGGTGCACCCTGGCTGCCTCTGTGATGGAGGTTTCACCAAAGTCTGCCTTCCCCCCGCCTCTTCCTCCAGCTCAGCGAGCCTCAGGGCTCGCCCGGCTTCCTCCTCTTCCTCTGGCGGCTCCTGAGCCCTGTGCTGAGGACTTACACCAGAGCGGTGGCTTTCCTGGGCCGACCCAGCTGGCCCCAGACTGGTAGGCCCCCCCCGCAGCGTGGACAATTGCTTCTCCAACCACACTAGTCCCCCTTTGGCTTGGCTTTTGGGGAAACTGAGGCACAGCCAAAGCTCCCTTGCAGCCCTGGCTCTATGCTGGGCCAGGAGAGGGGCTGTGTCCCCCCAGGAACGGGGGGAGCTGTGATTTAACCCCCCTTTCTCTCCCCCCAACCCCAGAGGCAGCCTACGTGGAGGCGCTGCTGCAGTTCCTGGCCGAGGAGGACAGTGTCGGTGAGTTTGGGTGGGGACAGATGGGGCCTCCCTCCTGCTTTGGGGGCAGCACCCCCATAAAACCGGGCTGTGGGTGCCGAAGGGTGGGACGTGGGTTCTCCCTCAGGGATTTCTCTCCCTCCAGAGTACCCCAACAGGAGCCTGGCCCTCAGCTCTCTGCAGGCCTTCAAGGAGATGGGGGTAAGCACGGGCGGGCTCTGCTAGCCCCCCCCACCTCAAGCTGTCCCCCACTCCCCTGGGTGATCCTCCTCTTCCTCTCCAGGTGCTGGAGGAGGTGCAGACCCCCGCCGGCCCCCTGCTCCACCTTGCCCAGCCTTTCCACTCCAGCGTGAACCGGGGGAAGCTGGAAGCCTTCATCCAGCAGTTCCTCGAGCCGTAGCAGCCACCGTCGTGCCAATAAATCTGGGAGCAGGTCCCCGACTGGCTCCTGGCTTTATTGAACACCAAAGCGGGGGAAGGCAGCTGAATGGGGGTGGGATTTGGCCTCTCCGTCTTCACACCACCTTGTTGCAGATGGTGCCCAGCTCCTCGATCTCACACTGCACCTCGTCTCCTCTCTGCGAGGGGAGATGGTGGAAGCCCCACACTCACCTTGTGTGTCCCCCCCGGGGTTCTTTATGTCCCCGTTCTGCCACCCCAGCCCTATTTTGAGCCCCCCCTCACTTCTTTCTCTCACCTTAAGAAACACGGGGGGCTTCCGAAAGAGCCCCACACCAGCAGGCGTTCCTGTTAGCAAGATGTCCCCAGGGACCAGTGTGACAAATCTGGCAGGGGGGACACGATGGGAGGTGTCAGCTGTGGCCCCCCCCAAGCCCCAGCACCTCACCTCCCCCTGCACTTACCGGGAGACCCAGGCGATGAGTTTGGGCAGGGGGAAGATGAGCTGGTTGGTGCTGCTGTCCTGCATCACCTGCCCGTTGACGCTGCAGCGGATCCTCAGGTTGTGGACATCTGTGGGGACAGAGGGGACACCGGGCGGCGGGGGGACACAGGGACAGTGCTGGGGGGATGCCTGCCACTGTGAACACCCCCTTCGGGAAAACCAGCTGCTTTGGGGGAAAATTTGATGCCTGGTGCTTCCTCTTTTAACTGGGAGAGTCCCTATCTTGTCCCCTTCCCTCCCCGTCCTGTCCCCACCTGCCACGGCCTCCTTGGTGACAAGAGCTGGCCCCAGGGGACAGAAGGTGTCGAAGGTTTTCCCCAGCAGCCACTGCCTCCCGTTCCTCTTTGTCTGCCAGTCCCGGGCGCTGACGTCGTTGGCCACCGTGAACCCCACGACGTGGTCCAGCGCGGACGATTCCTTGGGGGTGGTGGGGGGGGTGTGACAATGGGGACACGTTTAACAAAGGGTGGGGGGACACGTGGAGGAGGGGGCGGTTACCTCAATGTGCCGCCCCTTCTTCCCGATGACGGCGGCCAGCTCCACCTCCCAGTCCACCTCCTGGAGGGGGGGACACACAACATGGGGTGCTGGGTGGGCTCAGAGGGGCAGCACCCCATGGACGGGGGCGCGGGGGGGGCGCAGGGGTACTCACGCTGCTCTCCTCGGGGTGTACGATGTCATCGAAGGGCCCCACGATGGCGCTGGGGAACTTGCTGAAGATGATGGGCTCCTTGGGGCTCCTGAGGTCCTGCTCCAGGCAGTGGTCGTGGTAGTTGAGCCCCACACAAATCACCTTCTCTGGGTCCCCGATGGGCGCCAGGAGCTGCACCGTCCCCCGCGGCACCCGGTGCTGGCCCGACTCCAGCGCCCTGTGAGGCCGGTGGGGCTCAGCGCCGGGGCTCGATCCGGCGGGGGCACGCGGGTGACACCGGGGCGCTGGGCACCCACCTCCGGGCAGCGGCCAGGCCGCTGGGGCCGCTCTCCAGGAAGGCGCGCATGGAGCGGGGCAGTGCGGGCTCGGCTGCGCTCAGATCCACC